AGGATGTGAACAACGATATGCCCTCCACATCGCAAAAGCGACAAACTGAAAATGCAAACAATTGCAGTGCACCGAAAAGGCAAAAATAGGAGAGCATATCGAACCGCCTAAAGAGATTTTTGGACGACGATACTAATGGAAAAACGGAAACAAACGTAAAGCTCGATGAACTAATAAATATCCAAAAGGAAAATGCAAGCAGCTTGAGACGTATCTACCGAACAATTGAAAAGAGTCGCAAAAGCTGTAACAGAAATGAAAGACGAATTCGTAAGTATTGGTACACGAATATTAAGAACTCTTGCGGAAAAAAATTAGATTAAAAGAGAACAACTGGATCTCGAAATATTAAAGTTTGAACACAAAAGGCAAACTGCAAACAAGCAGGGAACGGATTTTTAGGACCTAAAAACCTATAAAAAATGCAAAATAAAGTAACGAAATAGGCTGGAAAAGGCAAAATAAAATAGCGAAAAAGGCAGGAAAAGGCACTAGGTATTGCAAAAAAGGCAAAACAAGCTAGCGAAAAAGGCAGGAAAAGCAAAAAATAGGTATTGCAAAAAAAGCAAAGTGAGGCACTAAAAAAATACAGAAAATACGAAGAACAATCAAAAAATATATTTATTTTACAAATGCTTATATTACAAGTAAAAAGAGAAAAACTATGAACTAGTTTCATTATATGAAAAATTTGTACTTTGAATCTTTGACTATTTTATCCTTTCGAGTTTCTAACTCATAAAACTTTAATCTGTATAGTTGTAGTAACATTGAACCACAAGATGCATTTTGAAGTTTTCTGGCAACATTTTCATTCGATTTTCGCGAAGAAAAGCCTTGAATGTACTAAATGTGCGCTCGACGTAAGTTGATACAAGTGGAGCCCAATTTAAATATGGAACGTTTGAAACGTTCATATTATCAGAAACAAGGGCGCTTTCCTCGCACTTTACAATTTTATCCATACCCCTTATTGTCTTCAAGCCTACGTTAGCTGAGAAAACGGCTTTGAATTTTTTCAACAGCAATTAGGCAAGAGGTCCCTGTGCTTCTATAAGCCGCATGGGCATGTGAATATTTTTTCATCTTAAAAAAAGGTAGAAAAGGCAAGAAAAGACAAAAAGGCAAATATCTTAAAAAAGGCAAAATAAGGCAACTTCAAATATGTATATATGGAATCAGGGAAAGCTAAATCGTGGACATTCTTAATCGAATATACTCTATCTCTTTATCAGAAAAAAAGGCAATTTCCAGGACTGATGAATCGGTAGCAACCTGATAAACTTCGTCAATTACCGGCCGACTACTTGCGGTGTATTTCAGCGATTACTTTTGCAAGGCAATGCCCTAGGCGGTAGTCACCATTGGCTCTCTCTGCACTACCGGGAGTTAATAAAGTAGTCACTTTCGTGATTTATGGGCGCCCTCTGTCGTTGTTTTTCGCTAGTCTGCTTCTGACTGGTTCGATTCTGCACTACCATGTGCACTACCACGGTTTAATAGAGTAGCTACTTACCTAGGAGTCGGCACGGTAACGGTTCAAACGTAGCGATTGACTCCAGCAGTACTGGAGGGTATGGACAGCAATGTTTTCATGTATGTACATATGTTTGTGTGTAAGTACTTATGTTTGTGTACATGTATATATGGACATACATATGTAGTACGAACGAAAACAAATCTAATTAGAGCTAGCAACGCTGCTGGTAGATATTAATGCGAATTGTACTGATTGTCAAAAATTATTTTTGTGCTTGTTGTACATTTGTTCATGTTTATCATTGTGCGTAAAATTTTCTAAAGTAGTTTTTGTGCTCCTGATATCACCTTGTATGAATTCGTCTTTCGTTGATATACTCTGATAAACATATATGAGGATGATAGCAAAGCGAACTCATATAAGGTAGTGTTACCGGAGCAGTTGAAATTTTCGCCTCGGCGCACAGTGGGGTAATTGATGTCGATATTGCCTATTAATTCAAAAAATGAATTTCAAAATACAAAGAAGGGTTTAGTACCAAATGAAAGTACACAAAATTCTACATCACTATGTAATCAAATATTTGCCCGAAAATTTACCGTGTTTTTTCAATATACTCTTAAAGTAGTCACTTTTTCCTTTGAGTGTGCGCAAAGTGAAAAACGTGATTTAACATTTAGAATTTCCAAGCTATATCTGAGTTTTCTTTAAAGATATATCAAAAACCGCAATGGAACCTTTTTGTTCAGGTACTTAGGCAATACAAGGTGATTTTGGTTTTCTATTACTATGGTTCTAAGTATTTTATTTTATTTTTTATCGTAAGCGTAAAAATAAGGTTTTTTTTTGGCTATATACGTAGACATATACTTGAGAAGTAGGTGCGATCAAGCAAAAGTGTCATCATTTATATATACCTTGGACATTATAGTGTCATTCTGTAGTTACGGCATATCTGCGTACTTTTTCAGTATATCGATTTTTATAACATAACCTCGTTGGTGAAATATACCTGAAATTCTCGATGAAGAACAAAACCAAATATAACAAGTGAAAACTAAGTAAAAAACATACAAGAAAGCATTATTGCTATTGTTCACGTTTGTTGTTTGCTCAATTACTGTTTTTTTATACCCTGCACGGCATAAATATTAGGTATATACACATCGGCGTAGCCAGAATGAAATTTGGGGGGGGCTCGACCCTATTAAGCTGGCATTTCAGGGTACTATTTTATATATATATAAGGAAAATTTGAAAGTTAGGGGGGGGAGGGCTCGAGCACCCCCCTGCCCCTACCTGGCTACGCCCATGTATATACATATATATACATTTATGTACATATCTGCTCAGACTTATAAAATAAAATTTGGGTTTATTAAATTGTACAATAAAAGCTTAGATTGACGTAATTTACTTGTCCAATGAATTATAGGGTATATGTGAAACCGTAAAGAACGGTACATATTGCATATTTTTAGAGCTATTTATAATCTTTGTTATTGTTTATAGTAATGCTATTTCTAGAGTAAAAATAATGATAGTGATGATATTTTTAACTAATATGGTTACGGGTAGACGGGTAAACGGAGAATAACCATAACTTTAAAGGCCTAATTATATTATATTTATAGGAACGAGCTCAAATATCATTTGGGTTACACGCCAAAGCCTTTATAAAATAACGGAAAACTCTGGCTGCGATCAATTCAATGATAAATTTAACTTTTAAACGGGACAAATGAAAGATCGAATCAGGCCATCTGATGAAAATTTAAAAGAATTTAATGAAAAGATGAGATATTTCGTCTCTGAGATCAAAATTCATTGGAATAGGACACGAAGAACGCGTTTTTAAAGCAAAAAAAGTTGGCTTGAGTCCTCTACAGGTTTTTCTTGTTGAAAAAAATAAACGTCAATTGTCAGAAAAAGCTCTACAGGCGCGAAACAAAGATTTTAAGAGCTACAGAGAACATTTTTCTCGCAAGTGCAACAGAAAAAAGACGAATGAAGATATATTTAATAGACTTTTGATTAGTTCCGACCCTGTTGTATCAAGTATGAGAAAACTACTCCAAATAAAATTGCCGGTTTTGCCGAAAGAAGCACAACAGGTGTTAATTATGCAGCCTTATAGCGATGATGAAGATGTTGATAGTGATGACAATGACGCAAGCGAATATGATGATTATTTTTATTAAATGTTATATATTCTAAATTACTTTCTAAGCTTAACAAATACATGTAGATAATTGTTTAAGAATAAAATTATTACAATATTCAATATTCGTATTCATTATCATATAAAAAATTACCTAAAAAAGTGATGATGTGGCTGATGTTGATAATGAAAGTCAGTGGCGTATACAGGATTTTATTTGGGGAGGGGCGATTGGAATAGACTTGTCGAGTAACGTTAAATTACAGGCAATCGAAGCTACATGACCTACAAGCATCCAACCTCCTTGAACCCTCATTTATTTTTCACACAAATAGAAGTTCTACTAATATTTATGAAGTCCGAATTAAAATGTTTTGTGATATAATTTTACTTCAAGTTTCATGTTGTGAATTTGGTGCAAGGTCCCTTTACAGAGTCCCATCTAATAAAACAATTATACTATTTTGTAAAAACGCACAAGACAAAAAGTTATGCTCTGGGTTTATTAAAGCAGTTTATATTTGTGTATATTACATAAATATGTACTTATTTTTTGCTTAATGTTTATCAAATGAGGGATGTAACTAAGCAACTTAATAACAACTTAAGTAACTTAGATTACATAAACTGAATTTAAAATTAACAGCTGACTGGCATTTGATTGGCTAATCTTAGTTTAAAGCAGCCGTTTTGAAAAGCCAACCCTCGCAATCTACAAACTATGTTTAAAGAAAGATTTTTAAAATCTTTTGAACCAATATGATACAAACTTTTATTTTATAAACGGCGATAGCGAAACTAAATGATTTTCGTTATTTATTTCACGAATATAAATACATATGTACAAAATTAATATTCAATACCAAAATTGTAACGCCTTTTTATATTGATTTTAATTTAATAACTTATGTTATATTACGTATACCACGCTCGAATAATTTTAAAATACTTTTAATATGTTCAAACATACAGTGAATAACTCTAATGTTCGGTTTTTTCATTACTATGCCTTTTGTAGTAAATTGCTATAGAAAAAATTAGAAAAATTGCACTTCTTTCACAACATAGTTTTCCTTTTATGGTACGGTAATTCGCTGCTAAAATGTTATGGTTAAAAGCCGAAACGAAACCCAAAACGCAAAAAAGTCAGAATTTCACGCATTTACAAAATTTATATTCGGTGCGAAATAAAGTTAATTGACGTTATTACCTTTTCAAAAGCGAAACAAAATCCATTGACATTATTGCCCTTTCAAACATTAAATTTTCTTAGCTTAGCGGCGGCCCGTACCTCCGGGAAAGGAACTCAAAGGGTCGGTTCAAGACTGATTTCGAGAACTTAAAGAGCTCAGCTAGTCTTTTCAACGAGAATTTTCGTATGACTGCTATATGAGATACTACTTTAATTTTTGCTGCGCAAGCGAAATACCAAGCCGGATGATTTCATTTGTGAAAAAGCCAAACTGGAAATGGTTTTAGAGTACATGTGTAGGTTAAATTATGAGTCCTATCTTACAAGTAATTTGTTATATCGACAGGTACTTTGCAACGGGAGATTTGTGTAGACATATAGCTTCCTTCTACAGAATTAGTAAGCAGCATTTTGGTCACATAGTATCGCACGTAAGTCAAGCTATCTGCAAAGCTTTGAAGAGCCAAGTACCGGAATGTAATGAGCAAACCAAGTCTGCAGTTGCGAATGGTTATAAAGAAAAATGGAATTTTCCAAACTGCGTTGGAGCTATCGATGGAAAACATATCGCCATTAGAGAGCCCCCGAAAAGTGGAAGTATTTTCTTCAATTACAAGGCAAGTAACTAACACCTGTACATATAAATATACTAGATCACTGCATGAATAAATTCATTTTCTTGTGTATAGTTCGCTATCGCAAAATTTTCTACCTCGAATCCTTCTGATCGTATGGATTTTCGCTCTGATTTAAATACGAAAAATGCTGTATCCAAAGTTTTGCAAAAAACTTGATAAAAATTACTATGAGAAGTTTTCCTCTTCTGTGAAATTTGTAAAAATGGACTTAGCAACTCTTTCCCATAAGCTAGCGATATATATGTAGTTGCAGGGCGGTTCATCTATCAACGTTGTCGTCAATTTCAGCTAGGGGGAGGCCCAGGAAGTGTGCTGCTTCCACAGGGGCTGTCCATAGGGACAGGGGCGTTAGCTGAGTGGAGTTCTCAGGGCATGTGAAGAGGTGCCGGGAGTCATGTGGCAACTCTCCACATGCCGGGCATTGGTTGGGCACATCCTCGTTGATTGTGCTCAAGTAGGAGTTGAGCCTGCTGCAATAGCCAGAGCGAAGTTGGGCTATTGTAGTGCGGGTCTCCCGAGGCAGACAAAGTTCCGTCCCGTCCACGTCCGGTGCTTGTGTGCCTAGAACGGCATTCACAGGGCAGGAGTCTACATAACTTGAGACTGATTCCCTGTGAATGCCGTTCAGGGCCTGTCGGTAGGTTGACGGGTCCAGAGGTTGTTTGATAAACCTCTGGACTTCGTACGTCAGTTCGTAAAGATGCCTCCTGACGTGCCGTGGCGACGGCTCTTCCGCGAGCAGTTGTCCGCTGCGATGGCCACGTCTGTGGCTCCCAGCAAGGAACTGCTTGCAGAGCATTATGTTATGCTCCTTTACTGGGAGCATCTGCGCCTCGTCATGAATGTGGTGCTGAGGCGTCATCAGGAGGCATCCTGTCGGAGTTCGTAATGCCGTGTTTTGGCAGGTCTGTAGCTTCATCCACTGCATCCTGCTAGTCCCCGGCGACCATACGGGCGCTGCGTAGTTTAGAACCGGCCGGCCAATCAATTGCCTTGTATGTTGCCAACAACGTTTCTTTATCTTTGCCCCAAGTGCTGCCGGCCAGCGACTTGAGAACATTGTTGCGGCTCTGTACTTTGTTGACAATTGCGGTTGTATGCGCCGAGAAGGAGAGCAGACTGTCGAAGGTGACTCCGAGGATTTTCGGGTTACTCACCGTCGGTATTGTTACGCCATCAACGTGACAGTCTGACCTCTTTCGTCCAGGTGGTGAGGTAAAAAGGGTTGCCGAGGATTTCGCAGGGGATAGGGCAAGGCTCCTTGCAGTGAAGAAGCGAGAAAGTTCGGAGAGGTAACCGTTTACTTTCGAGCACAAATCATCAATTCCATTCCCAGACGCCATGATCGAATAATCGTCAGCATACGAGACTATATTAACACCCTTTGGTGGCTGAGGAAGTTTTGAGATGTAATAATTAAACAGTAGCAGGGACAGGACACCACCCTGTGGTACCCCTTGTTTAATTTTACGTGGCTTGCTACTTTTGTCTCTGAAAATTACTGACGAGTGTCGACCACTCAGGTAATTCGCCGACCACTGTTTGAGTCCCTGTGGGAGTGAGGAGGCCTCTATATCTTCCAGTAGCGTTGAATGACTGACAGTGTCGGACGCGTTGGGCAGGTCCAACGCTACTAGAATAGTTCTCTCACAGGGGTGATTTCGGTTTAGGCCACGAGTTATCTAAGTGTTTATGGCGTTAAGTTCTGTTGTTGTGCTATGCACTTTACGGAACCCATGTAGATGCTTCGCTGGGGTCAGGTGGTTCGTAAAGTACGGGAGAAGCAGGGCCTCGAGTGTCTTCGCTGCCGGGGAAAGGAGAGTTATCGGGCGATAGGACTCGCCTTTGTTGGCTGGTTTCCGCGGTTTGAGCAGTGGGACCACTCTCCCCATTTTCCAGATGTCTGGAATGACGAGAGTAGCCACATACAGGTTGAGGACCTCCGTTTGGTGCGCTACTCCCGTTCACAAGTTGCCGAATCTCCAAATTGAGATCCCTAATACGGGGATTTCCGGGATCGGCCTGACGAAGGTTGTCGCGCTCATCAGCTAGAACAGCTGCTTCGGCAGGAAAATTCGGACGTGGATCCTTAATACATCCTGCTGGGATAAAGCGAGCTGCAGCAGCGGTGACAACCCTGTGGAACTTACGTTCACCTACATGAACGTCGGTTGGTATGGGTAGTGCAGTGAAGGCGCCCTCAGTAACAGCCGTGAAGAATTTCCAGTCCCGCTCAGCTGAAAAAACGGTCTAAGCTTAAAAAATTTGAATGAACATATTTTTAAAAAATGTAACAAAAAAATTTAAACGGAATCGTAATGATGAGATTTTTGATGCTGTATTTAACTTTTTTCAAAGATTGGTATAAGAAAACCTTGAATAACTGAGCCTAAGCTCTTCCGATGTAGACTTAAGAGGTGTCATTGGAAAGGTATTTTCTCCCCGTTTTTATTTCTTTGATAATAAACTCATGAAAAGGATGAAAGAGAACGGTAGGATGAACGAACGTCATTCAAAATTGAATTAAGATGTGTTGGTATTTGAAAAAAAAGGGACACGAATGACTCTTTTTTGGACAGAAATAAAAACAGTGTGAAAATACCTTTCTATCGAGATCCCAAAAGTCCAAATAAGAATAGTTTTGGCCCAGTTATTCAAGTTCTTTGTAAATCAATCTTTGAAAAAATTAAAAAAACAGCATCAAAAATCTCATTCTTACGATTCCGTTGGAAAGATTTTTAAATATTTGTATGCAGATTTTTGAAGCTTAATCTGTTTTGTCATCTGAGGGGACTTTTTTCAAAAGGTTCTTTAAGAAACTATTTTTATTCATAAAAAACTCCATTTTTTGATGTATTTTCAAATCGGTCCAGCTCACTTAAATCTTAATATTTTTCCGAAATATTTAGGCGGACGTCTTAAAATATTATAAATTTTGTAATCCTGGCGGAAAAACCGCAACTTTTTTCTGTGATGCAGTCTAATATATGTATATGTATATTATATATATGCATGTAACTCGACTGTTGTTCAAAAAAAAAAAAAACTTATATTTTCTTCTCCATTCAGGGCTTTAACTCCATTGTTCTTTTGGCTACGTGCGACGCTTTTTACAAGTTTACCTATATAGATGTAGGCGCTTACGGTAGTGAAGGGCATGCCAATATTTTCAAAAACTCTACATTTGGCTCTAGAATACTAAACGACCAGTTGCCATTCCCTGCTGATACTATTATTAACGGGAAGAAAGTGCCGCATTTCATCGTTGCAGATGACGCCTTCCCGTTGAACAAGCGGATTATAAAACCATTCTCTAAAAAATCGATGACAAAAGAAGAGCGCATATTTAATTATCGTTTGAGCCGAGCTCGAAGATGCATTGAGAATGCTTTTGGGATTTTGAGCACGAAATGGCTTTGTTTACGAAAAATCTTATTTTGCTTTCCGGATCGTGCTCAGGAAATAGTATCATCATGCTGCTTGCTACACAATTTCTTGTTGAACAAAGCTCGCCAGGAATATTGTCCAGATACATTCTCTGGGTATGAAGGTAATGGTGGAGAGTGGATAAGAGGAGAATATGAAAGTTGGGAGGAGACCCGGAATGAACCGAACTTTTGCCGTGGAAGATCTTCGGATTATGGGAAATATGTACGCAATTTGTTAAAGGAGTACGTTAACTCTGAAGAGGGAGCTGTTCCATGGCAGAATGATGCTGCATTTGTTTATTCCTTTCATGCCTTTAATTATTTCAAATGTTTTAAGTGTAGTTCATAGCAGCACCAAATAATATATTTTTCTTATGTATGTACATGTAAGAAGTTTTTTTTTTAAAGTGGCTTAAGTCACTCTCTTGTACTTTAATGATCTGGGTTGGAATCGTATCATCCGTTCACGAATCGAAAACCACGAGAAATACGTTTTTACGTAACGAATAACACGATATCGTATGGGACGTTTCGAGCCGTGTTACTTGTATCTGGCCGCGTCCGTTATTCGTTCTCATTAACCAAAGGTAAAAGGTTTTGTCATTAGTTTATAACGATAGAAAGATTTACAGATGCATTCGGTTACAAGTAACCGGTCATTTGAGCACAAGATGTATGAAGTGACTTATGTCACTTTCAAATTAAACGGCTCATTGGACGGCTGAGTGGAAAATCGACATATCTCGGAAGCTAAGTTGAGATCGCCTTATATCAGAGAGCTTTTCAAGAACGCCTTTTTTCAGAATTTGAGATAGGTTGGGACCGGACGTTTTTGAACCGAATCCTAAAATAGGGCATTCTTCAACCAAATTCTGAAATAAGGCATTCTTGAAAAGCTCTCTGATATAGGGCGTTCTCAAAACTAGCTACCGATATATGTCGATCTTTTATTCAGCCGTCGAATGAGCCGTTTGAAAAATAATAGGGACATGATATTTTGACCAGATTTTCTTATTTTGATTTGGTTTGTTTACTGTTTTATTTTTTAATAAAAATTTTACTCATTTCTAACAAAACCATATAAGTCCAAATTACCAAATTGTTATTCAAAATTTGTGGAAAAATTCTAAGTATGCAGTTTTATAGCCCATTAAATTAGCTGAATAAAGTGTATGGTCTTATTATTTTCTTCAAACAAATCAACAGAAATTCTTAGCCAATTGAAACTTGCACTTTATTGAGCTAGAATTTAATGGGCTATAAAACTGCATACTTAGAACTTTTCCACAAATTTTGAATAAAAATTTGGTTAGAAAATTTAGACTTACTTATATGGTTTTGTTAGATAATGAGCAAAATTTTTATTAATCCTTTTATCCTTTTATACATAAAACCACTTAAAAACGTTAAGTTTCCAGATCGATTGATTTTTTCAATTTAGTTGAAACCAGTTAAATTGTTTAATTAAAATAAATAAAGAAATAATTTAAATTCAATTAAATTATGGGTGCAAATTGTTTCCCTTGTTTTTTTCTTCTAAAACCTTGTTTAGCAGCGTTTGCATGAAGCTGCAACATGCTTCATCGGCTATGTTTTTTGGAAGCAGTTTCAGTAGAAATTCGAAGCCAGTGAACGCTTGCTGAAATGGCGACTCCGATTGCAACCCACGAAGTCTCACTGCGTTCTGTTGCTTTTCCAGGAGATCGTCAAACTTTTTCCAAATTTCCTGGGTTTGCGGTTGGCTAGGTAAGCGAGACCGCTTTGTCGGTGGGTGGTCTAGAAAAAAACAATTCAACAAAAGAATTTTCAATCGATGCCATACTCCAACACTGCCATAATCCAAAAAATAGTTTGTGTTAACTTCCTATGCAGATATGACCGTAACCTATTTTCTACGTTGTGTTAAAATTTCATGGCTTTGTCAATAAACTATAGCTCATTAGATCAAAATGTGTTCATGTATATATATATATATATGTATATATATATATATATATATATATATATATATATATATATATATATAAACTTACGTAGTCATACTGGGAACCAGGATATTTGCTGGTAGTCGCTTCGTCTTCGTCTTGCTCCTGGAAAACATCCTCGATTGTCGTAAAAGGTCTTCGAAGTAAAAGTAATAAAATATATATGTATGCTTAAATTTGATTAAAAAACTAGATTTTTGAACCTTCTCTTTTGGGACACATTGGGCAGGAACGCAATTTCCTCTGCAGACTCCCAGTCAATGTCCTCGCAGAGGGATGGCTCGCTTTGATGTTCACCGCCCGCACTTCCACTTCTGTTATTTTGGGCAACCTTCGCCCGGTAGCGATAGCTTTCTCGCAAGCTCACCCAAGCTGCTTTGCATTCCTCCACTGAATAAGTAAAGATGTTCAACGTTTATGTTATCATGAATATGTATACCTACCAGTCTTTTCAAGCATGACCCCAACGCGGTTCCACGCTTGGTCCACCGCATTTTTGTTGGAATGCATCGGATCGGTAATACTCCAGATCCTCGCATTCTCCTTCACTGCGGAAATTAATTTCCGTTTTTCTTCTGCCGAAAAGTGCAGAATTCGTTTCTGCCGCTTGGACGAGCTTGCGCCGATTTCCATTTCTGATATTTATTCGATTTAAACTTTGGTCCGGCTGTTTTCTTCAAGAAATAAATGCTTTGTCAATATTTCTCTGCAAAATCAGGGTTCCGCTGTTCAAAAATTTCAAATTTCTTTAGAAAAAAGGTAGTAGAAAGTGTAGGACTTTCCTTGAGAACTGCGTACTGGTTTAAGTAAATTTGACTTAAGAAAGTTTCTTAGGCATTTCTTGTACGTCACTTTGTATGGAGTTTTTGCTTTTCTTGAGAACTGCATACAGGCCTTAAGGCCGGACAGAAACAGAGGAGGTGTTATAACCTCTCACTCATGCCTTCCTCCCTGCACTTCTTGCATGCGTCAATGCTACTAATGCCCATTCTGCTTGCGTAGGATGCCAGTAGGTTGTGGCCCGTCTAGTGATAGAACTTTTTAGAAAAGTATCGATACTAGTACTCATATAGAATACTCTAAAAAAGTATCGATGCCAGTACTCATATTTGCAAAAAAGTATCGATAATACTCGTACTTCCAAGTATTCTCAAAGCAAAAAGTAAATAAAAATCAGATTGCTTTGCTTTTTCACCTCTTCCTATTTGTAAATTGAATAGTCTCTGCCTTAATAGTTTTAATCTGAACTAAAGGAGTTTTTTGAATAAACTTCCGATAAATTAGTTTTACATGCGTAAGTTAAATGTTTATAGCGAAAAGCTTACTTCCAAGTTTTTAAAAGCAAATATTTTATAATTGTTTGACGCGTACATGTGTTTATAAATAACTTTACTTTGAAAATGAAATGCAAATGTAGAAGACGAGAAGCAAATGTGGTGAAGCCCATTCTCTATTCGAAAGATAAGCTCTCTTTCATTAAAATTTTCTTGAATAATGGGCTGGATTTCACAATGAAGGTAGAATACACGGGTTAACGACGGCTGCCTTATGCTGGAGAGTGGCCAAGTTGTCGAGTCGGAAGACCATCCTCTTCCGCCATTCATTATCAAAGGGGAGGCAAGGTATTCGTTTTTAAACATTTTTACCCGAACCCAATGTTTAAATGACCGCAACATATTCTTCTAGGTTGTGTAAATTTTCATAACTGTGTCAATTACGAGTAGCTCACTATAACAAAATATGTATTAATTATTAGTATGGGAGTATACATATCGTCGCTCGTATGCCATAAACATGAATGTGTAAAAATGAAAATTTTGGGAAATCCAGGTTGAAAGTTTTTTTGCAAGACTTAGCCCTATATTTATGTAATTGAAATTGTAAAATATTTACTTACCGTGTACGAATGGTATTTTGTGTTTTGGTATAACATAGAAAATTCAAAGATTAACCAAGTCAACCCAGTATCTCAAAACTGATATATTTGCACATTCAAGCTGCTGGCATGAGGGTGGCGATATGTGAATTAAAAACTTTAAAGGTGTGTTTCTCGGGTTTTCGGTTTTTTGAGTTATGACAGTATTGAAGTAAATGAGCTTTATGTTCATTTTCATAACATTCATATTGGACATTGAAGTTAAGTTCGCTACAATATTTATTGAGTAATTAAAAAAAAATTTACTTAAAAAGGTTGTTAACTCATCGATACTTTTCGGAATTCGCGATATTTACTCAGTACTTGTGAAAAAGTATCGAGTTCTCGATACTACTCAGTACTCATAAAAAGTATCGATATTCTGTATTCGGTACTCGTATCGTTCTATCACTTGGCCCGTCATTGGGACGACAACTATCCTGGAGTCCCTACGTGACCGTGTAAGCTAGAAATGGGTGTTTCATTTTCTGCTATTGCACATGATCTTGGTGGTTTTGCATGTTGCTAATGCGTTGCATCTCACCCTGATCCGGCACCCAGCTCTTTCGGAAATTTCATTATAGATCGTTTTTAGCGACATTTGAATTTCCTGTACTGGTTCGCTAGCAAGACGGATGGCACTTTTGGCAATCTCATCAGCTATTTCGTTTCCTATAATCCGCTTGTGGCCTGGAACCCAGTATATATGCAGCCGTTTACTCTCGGTCGCCCTGTCTACTGCTTCCCTGCTTCTAAGGACATTTTCTGACGCAATATGATGTGATCGACATATATACTGATATTTTTTACAGAGAAGACTTTCGCCTGGAAAATTCTGCAATACTCTGGAAGCTTGAAGGGTTGCCTGAGGTCTAGCTCGGCGCAATATACTCCGGTGCCCACTCCATCAGCCATTTTAGATCTATCCGTGTACGTTCCGTTGGCGGGTCGCGTGCTCATGCGCCATCCACCCTCCTTAACCGTAGCATTAAACCTTCTTTCCCAGATGAAGCGTGGTGGTATGTGGTCTATTTTGTCCTCCATCCTTCTGCATATCGAGCTGGGCCCGAAAGTTCTTGCGTAGAATTCACCTAAGGCCGTCAATCTCATGGCAGATTTCACCGCAGTGCTCTCCACCGCGATGTTGATTGGTGGTTGGTCATGTAGACTTTCAAGTGCCGCCGTTGGAGTGGTCCTTAGCGCTCCTGTTATACACACTGCAGGGAGCCGCTGTAATCGCTCCAATGGTTTTCTATACGAGATTTTGTTGGCAGCGGTCCACCATACCAGAGCGCCGTAGAGCAATATCTGCTTAACTACCGCTGTGTAACACCAATGCATGAGGCCAGGGGATAGGCACTATGTGGTACCTAGCATCCTTTTACATGCGTAAAGGGTACCACTGGCCTTTTTCACCCTTTCCTCTACATTTAACTTCCACATCAGTTT